CAGGTCTCTGCGTTGCTGGCCAGTCCCGGGCAGCAGTACCTGGAGGTGGCTCCTCACGGCCCGCGGCTTGCTCCTGGGCTTCTCCCCACGGCCTTTTCCTTAACTGGGAGCCTTGCAGTTCAGCATTATCATCAAGCCGCTGTTTGAATCCTTCAAGGGCATGGTGTCTACCAGCAGCCTGGAGGAGCTGCACCGCACAGCGCTGTCCTGGCTTGACCAGCGCTGCTCCCTGCCCATCCTGCGGCCAAGTGAGTGCAGGAGGGCTGGGGCCTGACCCTGATCCACATTGGGCTGACCACGCTGGCCTGAGTGGAAGATGGGACGTGAGGACCCCAGGGCTGAGCTCAGCCGGACACGACAGAGGGAGCGAGAATGGGGCTCCGCAGGCTCCTTGTCAGTGGCCATGTCCAGCGTCTGTCTACTGAGTGCCTGCTGTTTGCCAGGCCTGGTGTCCCAGGAGGAGCTCTGGTGGTGGTGTGGGTAGAACTAACGGAAGAGGCAGCAGTTGAAGCTCCCGTTACTCCCCAGGAGAAGGATGAGGCAGCCTGGCCCCGAAGCCCTTGACCCCAGGGGCTAGGAGTGCCCCCCGCCCCAGCTTGTATGGCTTGTACGAGTGGCCTTTGGGGTGTGTCGGGTGCCTCCAGGCACACTGTAATTCTGACAGTAACTGGCGAGGCTGTTAGCATGCATGAAGGCCGTACTGGGGGTGAGGGAGTTGATTTTAGCTCCACAGCCGCAGGGTGTCTGGGTGGGACTTGCCCCTGGAGGCCTTTCATCGGCTGCCTTCTCAGTGAAGTGGCCGGGGCCAAGACCGAGGCTCCCAAAGCTCGATGATGAAGCGGACGAGCTCCGTGGAGGGCAGGGCAGGGGGCCGGCCTGGCCACCATCCTGTCCAGGCTCTGGGTACCTGTGGGGCCTGCTGGTCCCTGTGGGACCTACTGACACAGAGGGCCAAACCTCAGGCTGCTAACCAGAAGGTTGGTGGTTGGACCTCAGTAGCCACTCCACAGGAGGAAAATGCAGTCCACTCCCATGGAGACTTACGGCCTCCCAGGCAGGTCCACTTTGTCCTGTGGATCCGCCCATGTGGGGCTTGACACTTCAGATACAGAAAGGTGTGAGTGCAGAACCTCCTGTGTCCCTCATCAGCATAGCTCTGCAGTTGCCTGGGGAGCACAGTCATGTGACTGGACACTGGGTCCCCTGGAGGATGATGACATGGACTGGACGCTGTGGTCCCCGGAGGACGACAACGTGGACTGGACACTGTGGTCCCTAGAGGACAATGACCTGGACTGGACACTGTGGTCCCTGGAGGACAGTGATGAGGACTGGATACTGTGGTCCCCAGAGACGATGACATAGACTGGACGCTGTGGTCTCTGGAGGACAGTGATGTGGACTGAGCCGTGGTCCCCGGAGGACGATGATGTGGACTGGATGCTGGGGTGTGCAGGCGCCCAGCTCACCCCTCTCTCCACACCCCTGTCTTGCAGTGGTGCTGAACACCCTCCGTCACCTTAGCACCACCACCTCCGTCCTCACGGACCCCGCCCGGCTGCCAGAGCAGGCGTCCAAGGCTGTCACCAGGCTCGGCCAGAGGACAGGCGACTCTTAGAGGCCACAGACACCTTCCCAGCCCACAGCAAGAGGCCAGTCCTCAGGACCCCTTCTGCTCCAGTGGTTCCCACACCACAGGACACCACGCTAAGGCCTGCAGCCGGCTTGAGGCCAGCCATCAGCCCTCTGCTGTCACCTCTCAGCGACCTCAGTCTTGGCCCCCTCCCTCAGGGAGCTCTCTACTCCTGTCCTGCTGGTGGTCTGCCGGGGTTTCACAGCCACGAGTGGACCTTCCGGGTGTGAGGACAATGCTGTTCTGGTCCCTCGAGGCGCCTCTGAGCCACATTCTTCTGCCCCGCACAAGTAGCTTCGCTTCTGAGGGCTCCCGGCTCTGGCCTATGTGGGCAGTGCTGCTGCCAAGACCCACACAAGGAGCTGGACTTGGACTTGAGTTCATCCCGGATGTGGCTGGGGTAGGCCTTCAGACCTGCCCTAGTCTGCTGGACAGCACACGGGCAGCACGCACTGCCTGCTCCAGACACCTGGCTGTGCTCCTCCCTGCAGCATCTGCTTCCTTCTCAGCCTGCGCCCCTCCCTCCGGCAGGGCCCCCACCCCTCACGGGGCCTCCCACTCTGCGCTCCATGCCGGCCTCACTCCAGGTCCCCCGCTCCTCCCCAGGGTCTCCCTCTCCAAGCTCCATGCTGGCCTCACTCCGTCAGGCCCCTGCTCTCTCTCTGGGGTCTTCTCCAAGCTCCTTGCCGGCCTTACTCCACCAGGTCCCCCGCCCCCTCTCTGGGGTCTCCATCTCTGAGCCCCATGCCGGCCTCACTGCATCAGGACACCCCAACCACTCCTTAAGTTTCTCACTCTGAGCCCCATGCCGGCCTCACTCTTACCAGGACCCCCCAGTGCTCCTCTTCAGAGCTGGGCTTTGGAGAGCAGGGGCTCCATGTAAGCTCCTTTCCCTGGGATGCTGGGTCTCAGTTTGCCACCTGGCCTGACCACCATCTGCTGTCACTCAGCTGGAACCCCAAATAACAGCCATTTCTGGACCAAAGATGTCACCCACCCAAAGTCCAACATGGGCAGGCAGCCCTGTGATGGGGCCACAGGTCAGACTGTCCCCCCCTGCTGTCAGATCTGCTCAGTGTGGGGGTTGGCCAAGGGGGCAGGCGGGTGGTCCTGCTGCCCTCATCCTCTGCCCAGAAGGGCCCTCCGCAAAGCTCAGGAAGCCCAGCTTGGGCACCTTTCCCCAAGAATGTCCAGCGCCCCACTGCCCATCCCGCTGTCTCCTCCCTGACTAGAGCCAAGCTCGCAGTGGCACAACGGTCTGGGGAGAGGGGGGTGCTGTGGGGGGCCCCTAAAGTTCAGGAGTATTAGGAGCCCTTCTGATTTTTGGCAGCCTCTGCTCAGATGGTGGAGCGCAGCTGCCCACGTGTACTCCTGGGACGGGGGCGTTTCCTGTGTCCATGGCCCCAGGCCCGGCCCTGCTGCTCCCACGTCTGTGCAGCTTGACCGACAGCAGCTACCTCAGCCTCCCAGAGACCGTTTCCAGAATCTTCCCAGGGCGGAGCCTCAGAGTGAGCACCCCCACGCCTCCCTGGGGGTGCTGGGGACGAGTATGGAGAGAGGACCACCGTGTCCGAGGAAAAGGGACTGCACAGAGACCTGGCTCTGAGGGGCTGGCCCCTCCCCACGCCGTGCCTTCGGTGAGATGCGGACCCCCACCCACGTGTCAGGCTTTCTCCCTGCGTCGTGCTGGGGAATCGTCGGTTTTAGAAGCTACAGGATATCAAAGGGCCCTTCGCTTCTTGGCCTCCCTCACTCATTACTGCTGCATGTCGGGCGGGGGGCCCCCTGGACTCGGGGAGCTTGCTCTCCCGCAGATGGCCGGCGAGCTGCCCCGGTTCTGTTCACGTGGACTGAATGCTCCTCCGGTGCTGGTGACCATGCGGCTCTTGGGCCAGAGCTGGTGCTTTCTCATCAGTACAGAGACGACCTTGATGGATGTTGGTGGACAGGTGCGGGGCCATGGCCGCTGGGTTGGTTTGCACTTGTTTCCATCCCGTTCTGGATCCATAGAAAGGAAATGAAATGCCATCACTGAGGAATAAGCACTGTCTGAAAAGGGAAAACGCAAAGTCCTCGTGGACAGAGATGTGTCTGCTGGAGAGTCCCGGAGCCACCGATGTCACCGTGATCGGGGTGCAGGGAGAGCCAGCACCATCTGGCGTCATCCCTCCCACCAGACCATTTCCAGAACCACGGTGTCCACCTGAGGATGTGCTGGTCCGAGGGTACACTGGGAGCGGGTCACAGACCTGAGAGACGGGGCCACAGTTCCCAGCATGCTTCACGCTCACATCCTGCACAGACATGGGCAGTGTCAACTGTTGCCCCCAGTGTACATGTGGACAGGACTCCCGTGCGTGTGTGTACCTAGTCCCTCTCTCCCTATAGAGAACAGTTCATGGAGGTCTCCTGCTTTGGTCAATTGAAGTGAAAATGTGGTTCTTTAAAGGCTATAGCTCCCAAACCTTCGGAGTGCCCTGACACTCCGGTCTGACTGTGGAGTAGTTCTTGACTCTGTCCACTGCGTCACCAGTTGGCCTCTGGGTCCCTCCCTGAGGGCCTGTCCTGGGTAGAGGTTTGTCATTGCTGACTTAGAGGTTCCCAGAGGATGGACCTCAAGTTCTGTGGACCATCAGAAGGGAAGTGGGGCTGCCCCAGGGGCTTGGCCTGGGAGCCTAGCGGCCCTGCAGGCACCATCTTCCTCAGCTGGCTGTGTGGGTGCCGAAGCCCCGGCCTGACCTTGCCTAGCTCGGGTGTGTCACCCCTCGCCACCCTCCCCACACTCAGAAGTCCTGTGTTCATCTTGTAGTCACCTGGTTCCTGCACCCTGTGCCCTACTGTAGTCCCTGAGGCTGTGCTGGCCACGCTAGCTTTCTCTGCAGCAAGGGTGCTTTCACCAGTAACACCTGCTTCCCCATGTGCTCCTGGCCGTCGGTGAAGCCTTGTCAGAGTGTCCCCAGGCCATGGCCTCTCCTGGCACAGGGCTGGTAGCACTGGGGTAACACCAGGTCTCTTGTCCCTCCGGAGGTGTGCTGGCCCCCTAGGAGGTGTGTATGGGAGTTGAAGGCTGTGAAGGGATTTGTCCGCACAGTCCTGTTTGTACTGGGGGTGTAGTCTGTAGGGAGTTGATCTGCTGACCCAGGAATGGCTCCTTGGGATAAAGAACGATGCCGTCTCATTGTGTGCAGTTGACAGCCTCGGGGAGCTGCTGGAGGCCCAGCTCTGTGGAGGGTCTAACAATGACAGCAAGAGGCTAATGTGTCTAGTTGAAGCCAGAAAGTCCACCGTGCGTGTGTGCCAGGCTGTGGATGCCACTGTTGATGGAAGCCTGTGGCTCCGTGGCCTGAGAGCATGGTGAGGGGCAGGTCAGCTCCTGGTGTTCCATCCTGGGCAGTGGCCGTCCGTGTCTGGAACTTGTGACCAGCAGCAGCCTGTGAGTGGTGCATGTGGGTGATGGCGGCTCATGCACTCACTGCGCCTCCGTGTGTTTACTTCCCTGGGTCTTAGATCTGTGAAACTCCCTTCTGAGCACGTACAGAAATACAGCTGTATCCCTGTCAGAATCCTGGCCTCAGTCGCTCTGTAGTTTACATCCTGCAGAAGAGGGGGTACCAGCCACCCTAAGCATCATTCACCACATGCCTCTGCTGTCCACTCATGTTCACACACACACACCCCCCCTTACCTGTCCGTCTGGCCCCACCACCGAGACCCCGCATTCTGGCCTTTTACGAGTCTCCGGATTTTTAGTTAATGGTTCTTTATTTCTGTTTGCGTTTAGGGGCACTTTTCACAGTTCTGAGGAGCCAGTGACCCCTGGCCCTCTGGAAAAAACCTCCCAGAAAGGGCCTTGTCTAGTGGGGCTCCCCACCTGGGCTCCCCTGAGCCCAGCCTCCAGTGCTCTGCTGTTGAGAGACACTCCCACCAGCTGTGCTCAACACTACAATGCAGTTTCAAGAAATGTTTGCCTCCAAGACAATAAAAAGATCTTATTTTTTTGAAATGCTTGTGCCATGTTACCTTACACTGTACTCTGCTGCTTCTAGGCAGGTGGTAGGGGGCCTGAAAGGTGAGTGGACTGCCCTGTGGGGGTCAGGTAGATGTGGTCCTAAAGAAAGCCCCCCACAGACAGGGCCTGGTGGACGGTGCCTTCTGGGCTCTCGGAAGTGGGCAGAGCAAGAACAGAGCTTGTGGGACTGTCCACGGCTCTCATGTCCCACTCTGGGCTATGGAGACACATCTGTCCAGCGGTCAAGAGACGGAAAGCATAAGTTGTCACCAGGACACTTCTGATGGGCTCTGAAAGGTGCCTTATCAAGGAAACAGCCTCTTCACGTGACCATGGCCTCCCTGATGACCTGGACCGATGAGGTGCCTGTGTCTTCAGGAGCAGAGGGAACTTGCTAATCTGTTCAGCATAGAAGTTTCTTTTCTCCCCCCATGCCACCTGCCTGCGTCCCTCTACGCTCACTTGGCCTTTGTGCCTGGACAGGGTAGCAGGGAGGACGTGGCCGTCCCTCAGAAGCCCTCTGACCATGGCTGCCCCTCAGCTCTTGTCTGATCAAAGCCTGCGCCTCCTCCAAGGGAAGAAGTCTCCATGAAGCCAGCCTGGGCTTGCCCTGGGGGTCCCCAGAGCTGAGAGGCGAGTGGCCGTGGCCGTCCTGGTCATCTGCGGCTTCCGCGTGGCTCTGTGCCGTGTGTGTCCGAAGTGACACGGGGCTTGGTGTGGAGATGGAGCCGGGGTGGGCTGGGGAAGGGGCTGGGACCCCCTCACCGTCAGAGGAAGGGCCTGGCCTGCTCACAGGTGAAGCAGCCCGTGGTTTCCGCTGTCACCCTTGTTAACTGGCCCCGGCAGCAGCCGTCGGTCCAGAATCCTGATGTCTGTCTGACCCCGGGCCTGTCCGCATGTTTCTCCACCATGGTCAGCCGTTGCCCTGTCCTCCAGTCCAGCGGCCGGGAGCTCGCCAAGCCAAGGCTCCGTCCCCCGCCCACCCCGGCCGGGCTCCGAGTCACAGCGCTGACACCTGCCGTGAAGCCCGGGGCCTTCAAACCGGTCCATCAGCTTCCAGGGAGCGCCTGGATCCAAACCCCTGACCTCACAGCCCAGCGCACTACACACCGAGTCACACTGAGCCACCAGGGCCCCTTGATGGAAGTGAACGAGGGGCACCTGCCCGAGACCCGGGCCTCCCGACCTCCCCCTTCCGGCCTCGTGCTTCTTCATGTCCCTGAACATGGGCTTCGTCTCGCCTTTATACTCTGAGCTGAGTGGAAAAGAAACAAGATTTTCTGTTCATCAGTTGACACGTGTTCCTCATGACGGTGGTGCTCGCGCCCCTCCCCACCTTCCGGTCCTCGTGCTCGCGCCCCCC